GTGGGTCAATGGCGGCACATAAAATCCTGCGACAATCCAGCCGATTACTGCTCCAGAGGTGTGCTGAACTTGGAGAAAATAAAATCGTGGTTACATGGACCGGCGTTCTTGAAGGACCAGCCCAGCGACTGGCTCAACACTCCGATTCCCCCTGTCGCAACCGAGTTACTAGAGACTAAGAGGACCGTTACGTTAGTCGCTGCTTCAACCAACATCCTACTGCATAAACTGCATCGTTTATCACGATGGACGAAGGTGCTGAGGGTGGTTGTCTGGTGGACCAGGTTCAAACGACAACTCACTATTATGAGAGGACTCCAACCTGACGACACCTTGAATATTGGACCCATCGTTCCAACTGAATTGAGAACAGCACAAGCGGATGTTGTTCGTATGGTTCAATCACAAGCCTTCCCCTCGGAGCTTCAGAGATTAGACAAGAGGAATCGTGATTCCGACCGACGTGCATTACGTTGCAGTTGTCTCCAAAGGCTATGTCCAATATTGGTAAATGGTTTGCTGAGAGTAGGCGGAAGATCGACAAACTCTGAGTTGGACTTTGACGCTGAACATCCCATCATCTTGCCCAACAATCACGACATCACGCACACACTCATCATACATATTCACATGCAGAAGGTCATGTCGGGAAAATCATCTACTCAATACGATTCACTGTCGGTTTTGGATAGTCATAGGGAGAGCTACGGTGAAGTGCATCGTGGGTAACTGTCTGCCTTTTGTCGTCGGCAGAATGCTATATTCAGCAAACAATTGATGGCCTCGTTATCAAGTTCCCGAGTACGACCAGGTTGGTGGCCCTTCGCCGAAACGGGAATGGACTACTTCGGGTCACTTTAAGTGAGACGAAAGACATCAATGGAGAAACGGTACGGATGCTAGATGACCTGCCTACAGTCACGAGCCTTGCATATAGAGACCGGACACAGCATGTTGACTGACTCATTTCTTATGGCCCGACAGAGATTCGTGGGTAGACCAGGCAACCCATCGAAAGTGTCCTCCGACAACGGGTCCAATTTCGTCGATGCAAACAAGGAGTTGATGCGGTTAGACAAACGCGCCCTGCAAGACCGACTGTCACCATCTGGAACCCAATGTATGCGGTTAGACAAACGCGCCCTGCAAGACCGACTGTCGCCATCTGGAACCCAATGGCACCGGCAGTCACCACGGAAGAGTTTGGAAACGGCGTGTATGGTCGGTGCGAAAAATATTGACGGCGTTATGTGAACAACAGGCGCCGGATGATGAAAATTTAGGCACATTTCTGGTAGAGGCGGAAAGGATACTTAACAACCGACCGCTTGTACCCGTCACCACGACCTGCAAGGACGGGCACTAACTCCGAGTGATCTTCTGCTATTGAGGTCCAATGAAGGTTTGGAAGGACTGGCACTAACTCCGAGTGACCTTCTGCTATTGAGGCCCAATGAAGTTCTACATACTACATATGCCAAAGCTATTAGTGGCTGCTATGCCTCGGGTTGAAAGCATGAGAACTACCTGACAGGGGTGTTTTGGAAGCGTTGGACAGGAGAGTACCTGCCAACCGTTCAAGCTCGACAGAAATGGTTGCATAGAGGACGGTCACTGAAGGTTGGGGATGTTGTTCTTATGGCCGACGAAGAGCTACAACGCGACAACTGGCCACTGGGTGTAGTCGTAGAAAGCCACACGAACTCCGACGGAGTATTAAGAACAATGAATTTGAAACATCTGCAGGTGAACAGGTGCGTGATATTCGATGAGTGTTTTTATTGGAGGGAGATGACCACCGTTACGTGATGGAGTTGCGGAGACCCTCCGTGTATTATATTGACTTACCTGCCCCTTGTACCACTTGCGCCTCAGTGATATTCAACCCACCTGTACGAACACGTGCTGCCACCTCCTTACCATACGTGCTCTCTATTTAATTTTTGTGACTGTATCTTTTTATCAGATTGATACACGATTTATGACATTAACCTTGAAGGTGTGACCCATGTTCTTACAACATCCATCCATTTACATACACGCTATCATCTGCCTGCTGTACATGATTTCATTTGTAAAACTTGAATAATAATTACATCGCCCACATTCCCCCTCCTTGTTTACACATCGAGACTTTATCTGTAATGATATTCATTTGACCCACCGTTATAAATTTATGGTGCGTCTGGATGCAAGCTTGATGATGCAGAGGACAGATGACAACGAAGGAACGTGCAAGTCATCGGAGGCCAAGATCGACGAGGGCGGCGAAAATTGAACAGCTCGTAGTGAGAAGCACTGACATCAGGGACTAGGAAAGGAGATAGGTAGATAAGAATCAATGACCTGCGCCAAACCTTCGACGCACACGAGCGCAGGAAGAATTTTGGTGACCGATGTATCTCAGGTTGAATTTTTAAAAATCCTTTCAAACCCATGATGATTCAGAACGATAAAACTCTATCTGTGTTGCTTTTCTATTGACATTTATCAATCACAAACATCACACATCATTATTTATCTGTTAATTATATGCCCGGCACATTTGAATTTGACGTTCTCAGAGAACGTGAGTGACTGTTTGGCTCTCTCTGGACATCATATTTGGCTCGCTTGCTTGAGTGCTTTTAGTGGCATATTTGAAGTTTGCTTTATAGTATATTTTGTAATGATTTCCCTATTCAGTACCGTAGAACATTACGGATCAATCGTGTTTTATTTTGGGATTCCTATCGGTTTCGTCTACGCATCACTCAAGTGCGAATTGGTTGACGTATAGTACTCAAATTGAAATCAAACGAGAAAACTATTTCGAATTGGCTGACTTACACACCCTCTCGACTGAAACACTTTCGTAGTACGCGCATTACAAATGATGTAGTTGGTGTGCTAGTTGGAAACACTCCAGGCCATTTTGAGTAGGAATAGATAAGTACTAGTGCATGATAATGACTGAAAAATGGTCCACAGAGGTCGACGTGCACACCTTGCCATGAAATACAGCTTTCTGGCAATGAAGTCTAATTCTTCGGTCTTGACTTCTGCTTTTGTAGGCATGCTTCGCAGTTCTTAGCAGTTCGGCCAATGTCTTCATCTAGACCGGGCCATCAGCACATCTGTTGTGCGAACGACTTAATCTTCTCCACCCCTAAGTGGCCTTTGTGCAGGTCTTCTAGCACTGCCTTNCGGGTCAACAGCAACTCTTTCGTTCCAACGACTTCATCTTCTCCACCCCTAAGTAACCTTAAAGCAGATCTTCTGGCACTGCTTGCATAGCGCAGGTGGAATGATTAGTTGATCGCTACGGCATAGTATTGCGTCAGGCTAGACACCGATTTCTTCAGGATGTGCATAGAATGCTTCGAACTTCTGCTTCAGGTAGAGGGCGCCATCATATTGGTAGCGCCGTTATGACTAAACTATCATTAAACTTCAGCCAGGTTGTCTCTAGCTTTTCTATTTTCACTCTCGCTTCCTACACCTCTTGTCCTCGATGAATCTGTTTCGATGCTTCAGAACCAAATCAGAATCACCATTTTTATTTCAGTTAAGCTATAGGAACTCCGTTTG